GAAAACACATAATTCAAGTATCTGTAATTACACGCTAAAGATTCTCCCTCATGCTCGCTCTTTATTTTGGTGATTCATATGGTCCAGTGCTCAGAGGAGGAAAAACGGTGTTCAGCCCCTTGTTTTGCATTGTGCTGGAGAGGTTAAGCGGCTATGTTTAAACAGTCTGGGGATGACTCAATAAACCTGAGGACTTTGCAGAAACCGCCGTTCGTCTCGTAAATTAGAAATCAGTTAACACTCACAGGCCGTGAAGCGTTTTCTGCTTTCAATGCGGCTGGAAATGGATGTGAGCTTTTATGTCACATCGTTAAGTGTGGAAACTTTTTGGAAATCGGTGGCATATTTAGGTTGTTTATTTCCCATATTGCTTGTTTTAGGAGAGGTGCAATAAATAAATAAGAAATAGCTGGCTTTCAGATTCAGTAATCCTTTGAGCGGTTCAGTAGAGGAGCACCACTTGTTATATCTGGGTGCAGAGGGGAAGCAGTGAGAATACAAAAAATGTGGAAACAAAAGTTTTACTTCACTTCATAAACATGCCTGAGATTAATCTTGCCGCCTCTATTTTGAGATCTGCTGTATTTTCCCTGTTGGTGAACAAGTGGCTGACTTTGCAAATGATATATTTTCGATCCTTTCATCGTGGGTCGTCAAAGTAAAAAACAGAAACTTTTCCTCACATTAAACGGGGAGTAAGCTGTCTCTGGAAAAGGTCTTTCCCAGCATTTATCAACCCCTTCAAAACAGACTGATGGCTTCCTGGTTGAGAGGATACAAACTGGCCTTTCTCTGACACTCAAAACAGACACACACGTTCTTTTTTTTTTGCTCTCATTTATAGTATGTAAGCCTTCCCATGCATTGGAGCTGCTGGCTTCCTACTATTCAGCCTGAAAATAGCCCCTTGTTTTCAGGCAGGCAGCCAGGGCTCGTTGGCTGAGGCGGGCGGGGATATTTTACTGTGTCAGGAGGGAACTATCAGAGGCGAACACTGGATTAGCCCGCTACAGGGATGTTCACTTTACCTCCAGTGGCATAGCATCAAAACACCGCTGTCCTCAAAGAGGGAAAAAAGCATCTCACATGGCCGTGTTTACAGGACTGTCTCAGAAAATTACAATATGGAATCATTACAAATCAACCGAAATATCACAAGCCTTTTATTGTTTTAATAGAGCTGATTATGGCGTACAGCTGAAGAAAACTCAAAAATCCTATATTCTAATATTTGAGATAGGATATTTGGGTTTCTTAAGCTGTACGCCATAATCAGCGATATTAAAACAATAAAAGGCTTGCGATATTTCAGTTGATTTGTAATGAATCCAGAATGTATGACATTTCATGTTATTTAATTGCATGACAGAAAATAAAGAATTTTATCACAATATTCTCATTTTCTGAGACAGTCCTGTATATAGGGTAAATTGCTGAGCTATGATTGTTCGAATGACTAGTTCTAAACATAGTCTATATCCAAGATTTCTACAAAAAAAATAAACCCGATGTTGTCAAAAGAGTTCCATAAAAGCCCAAAGCTATATTGCAAATGCCAGCTTCTTTCCTGCTAATATTATATGTCTTCTTAATAGGTTTTCCACAGTTATTTTTCTTGATTTCTTTTGTACGGACCGACTCGGAATAGCACTTTGATTAGAACTGACATCAGAAAAGTAGGAGTGGTGGGAAGCTGAAGGTCACATGAGATCATTTTAGCATGCGGTGAATGATTAACAGTCTCCTTTCTCTCAGTAATCACTACGAGAGTGCCCTTGAGCAACCGAGCAGACCCACACCTACTGTCACTGCAGCGGCTTTGACCTCGCATTAGAATCTGATTGGAAAAACTCAACTACGTGGGCATTTTTAAATATTAATCACGCGGTAGTTACCAAGCCGAATTGGCTCATTCTTTATGTGGAAAATAGCCGGTTGATCTGATGAAACTGTTGAGCAGCCGCAGTAATAAGAGCCATATTTACTAAACAGCGTGTTCACGCTCAGGGTTTATTTCCATCCTACCCACAGTGGTTTTAGTCCATATAAAGTCACAATCCCTGAACGTGAGGATTCTTTGATTTGGGAAAAATCATGATGGATATTAATCTGTATTTATTGTCTTTGTGATGGTCCTTGCAACCAAAGTTTTGAATTAGTTTGGGCAAAACTTTGCCCCGCCTTAAAGACTTTTGATTACATTTCTTAAATGATATAAATTTTAACAGGATTTATACTGACCTATGCTTAAGCTATGCTTCTTCTGAGTTAACCATCATCTTCATCATCTTAAAGAGGCCTTACCCATTATTAAAGTTAATCTCAGAACACCTCGTCTGTCTGAGTGACCAAAGTGAATTAAACTAGCTTAAATGTAAACAATTAAGCCAGTAAGATATTAAAAAAGTGTATAAATTGTGATGAACAAGAATAGAGTCAGAGATGAGTCTCACAGCAACTTCGATATGGCTCAAATCTAAGTGATGCCTACGTCTGTGGGTGAATTTTTCCACAGATTTGGGGCAGCAAATTAGAGAGTTTTGTTATGTCTTTGTCAAAGTCTGGACCTCAGAACGTTTGCTCACAGGTTTACGGATGAGAAAACCAGCTAAATAAGGTGAAAACTCGGTGTCATTTAGCCGATCCAGGCATGAAATCAGAGCGTATTCATTTGTGTGAGGTCAGTTCTGTTGGTGAAGTTGGAGAAACAACAGGATCCGACTCATCTTTATCTCCTCTGCAGGGCTAGATAGAAGAGGACTGAAATTTGAAATCTAGATTTTGTGGGATACCTGTTTTACTTTATATGGCCTATTCAGGTTCTTACAGCACCAACAAGAGAATCTAATCAACACCACTGCTAGCGACTAAAGTCAAGCAGTCCTGACGCCTAAAAAGATGGATTTTGACAAATTTACCTATGTGAGGGGCTTTACAGAACGGAGACTTTGCTATTGGGAGCAACACAGAGACACCTGGAGAACTTTTAAAAGGAGCCTGGTGTCATTAAAGTCATGCAAAGACTGATCTGCTCAAAGAAAAAAGCATTTGTGGTTAATAGGAGACAGATTTAAAACCCAGCGAGGGACAAAGATTTTGAAAAAATAAAATCCCTCTTTACCCCACAATATGAATTTTAGTTCTCCAAAGCTATTTCAGCAAAATATCCTCCTGTTGATCTTCTTGTTTTGCTTTTATTTGTATGTATGCAGTAAAGAAGGAACAGACAGTAGAGATGGTCTAATCACAGTTATGGAATGCATTAGGCCGAGTTATTTTTGTTATTCAAATGAAACAGTCGGAGCTTTTAAGCTTAGTGATGTTTTTTTGTGTTTGTTTGCTTGTTTTACATAACGGATTATTATAAGGTCGGGAAACTGAAATGAAAATGGTTTAATGTGGACGGGCGCATGTCTGGCCAATAGCCCCGGCAGGCATCTGGACGCGGGCGGACCGGCTCGTAATGTCATCCAGATGTTATCTGGATGAGCTAATCCTGATGTATTTAGGATGACAGGCTGCAGATCGCCAGAGATTTACTGTTTTCTCCAAATTGAATACTGTAGAGTCGGTCTTTAAACAGGAGAACATTTCTGGAACTCAACGTTGGACTGAGGAATTGTTCTCTTTTTGTTGGCTTTTTGAGTTTGTGTGTATGAATATGTTTACATGCTATCAATCAAAATGCTTCTACCTCTCTACTTTTTCTTATTTGTTTTAGTAAGCCTGGTTTTAAAGTATCGATATGAAAGTTGACAATGACATCGGGGATTTGGATCCTGAAGATTAACTCAAAATCTGTGCGTGATTAACTAATTCTGTGTTCAGAGAAGCAGCAATGTGGAAGAAACTGTGCTCTCATAAGTGGATCTGCTTTCAGTTCCATGCTCCTAAAACCTGGATCAATCTTCCTGAGACAGACCCCGACTCTGACTATGTTTAAATCCAGGCTGAAAATAGTTTCTGTTTAACTGTGCAGAAGGAAATTGAATGTATTTTATCTGCACCCCTCACTTTTTATCCATCTTATTTATTCAATTGTTGATTATTTTTCTTTTCTTGTTCTTCTGCTTTTAGATTCTTTGTGATGTACTTTGAATTGTCTCTAACACAGAATGTGCTGTAGAGATAAACTTGCCTTGCCTTTAACTGAACCTGAACTGAACCTATTTTTGTATTATTTTTCATTTCTTTTCAGCTTTTTGATTCTTTCTGATGTACTTTGAATTGTCTTTATGTGCTGTACAGATAAACTTGCCTCGCCTTTAACTGAACCTGTGGTTTGTGATGTTGTGTCCATAGTTGTGTGTCATCCTGGAGCCCATGCAGGAGCTCATGTCCAGGCACAAGACCTACAACCTCAGCCCCCGGGACTGTCTCAAGACATGCCTTTTCCAAAAATGGCAGAGAATGGTAGCTCCACCAGGTAACTCCCCCATCCTCGTCGTGGATGTTTTTTAAATTAGAAAGCAGAACTTCCACAGATGAGGAATGCTGAAAAAGCTGTTTTTTTTCGGGTCAGATTAACAGATTCCAGTGTGAATCTTCTTTTCTGAATACTTAATGCGATAAAGGCTCAAACCCAAAGATGATGTCCTTACAGGACCCAAAACAGTGAGGATTGTGGTTTCAGATAATAAATTATTCCTGCTACTGTTTCTTTCAAGCAGCTTTTAGTACCATCCCACCCTCACGACAGGAATATGAATATGTTCCCTCAGAAGCTGTTTTCATTGCATCATTTATGTTCACAAATTTGCCATTATACGTCTTAATCCCTCAAATATGTTTTGCCTGTCAGGTATGTGAAATAATCAGAATTCAGGAGTTGCCGCTTGAATCTCAACCCCGGACCGTCTTAACAGGGCCCTCAGCCAGCCGTGATTGATGTTTGTAGGGTGGTTTTCTGAAAAGTACCGAGCTTAAATTGGCTTCGAATTCTTAAGCTGGAGAAAGCGAGTAAGCCAGGCTTTTTTTTTTTTTTTTTTTTTTTTTTTTTT